GTCAGTGTTTCAGCTGTGACTTTGGCCCAGAGTTGTTCTTTTCCTCCCTCTTTTTCTCCCTCTCTGCCTGCCTTCATCTCTCTCTGCAGATATATTTTAGGGAGTCTGAGATGGGAAATATTAAAATGGATGAGATTCCAGTTCTAAAGGTTATGGCAGATGGGAAACTTTTTCAGAAAGAGAGATGAGCATTATTGCCCAGAGCAGGGATTTGGGTTTGACACCTGGGATGTGTCTGTGTGGACAAAAGATTCTAGTAACTGAAGTTCCAAGTTTAAGTACAAATTCTGCATTTGCATCAAGATAATCAAGTTTCCCAAATTCTGTAATTGATTTGTGATATTTCCATAACTTAGAAGAAATAGTTAAATATAAATACTTCAAAAAAGGATCATATTTTGTGATCCACGATTTTGTAAGAGCCTGTTTCACCTTTGTCCACTAGAATTTAAGTTCATATTGCAAAAGTAAATACGATTTGACGGAAATGTAATTCTGACGAATTNNAAAATGTTGATACTGAATGTATCAGTAAAATGTTCACTGTTTTTCTGCCAAAACAGGCAATCTTGCAAAACTATCCACTCATAGAGACTGCAGCATTATTCAAAAGTCAGCAGTGACTTGAGACATTTTTTATATACATTTAACCAGAATCACGATCTTTAATCTTAACCAAAGTGCTTTTGTGGCAACAGTCTGGATGTGAACCCTGGGCAGTGGTGTGACAGTCCTGCACCTTGTAGGCCCGCCATCTACCCAAACCACTGCGTTACATCAATGTAATGTTTCAAAAAACGTCTGTGAACATAATCCGGGGCAGGTATTACATTGTCCCCACAATGTACTTATGAACGCAATTTAGTCATTTACAATCATAAAGTTTAGGCGACAGGGTTGTTTAACTATGTGTAGTGGCCTAAGAGAGAGACGACACAAGGAAAGCGTTACAATGAAGCTACATTTTATTGTTACTATAACCACTAATAAGTTCTAAATATAATTCTAGAGGCCTATATAACCTTTGTTATGACAGTGCCAATATTAGGGTATAAAGGAATAGTTTTTATGACTATTAAACAAAAGCTTGCAATCAACATTAAATTTAACTGAAGTTGATCACATCTGTTATTTTAGAAGTTTCCTGGCAGCAAGATGATAGGTTTGGTCGAATGTCACATGTTGAGGTAACTGGATGGACACTGGTATTCATCAATTGGGCCAATAAAACTAGGACACATGCTTAAAAGAATGCTCTAATGAAAGTTTTTTTTTAGTAGAAATGCTCATGCCTTGTAGGCTTGAACGATGGCTCTGAAAAGTTTGTAGCCTGCTCCTTCAAGGAGATTGTAGTCAGCTTGGATTCACAACATTAAAATTGATGATGAAGTCCAATCAAAATGGAAATGTCCAAAGTTTCAAATCACCATTGTTCAGTACTATAATAACTTATCTGCTGTTAGTCTGCATGATCAGTATAGTCCAAGTGTTTAGACAATACTGATACTGATATTTTGGACATAATATTTAAAATGGTTAGCTATTACCTTTGTGACTTGCTTCGGTTGATAGTGAATAGCAAACAGGACCGGAGCTCTAAAAAAAAAAATTCACCCTGTTAAAAATTAGAGGCTCATGTCTTGCAGAAATGTTCAAATACATACATGAGCAGAAGTCCGCAGAGAAGAGTAGATATAGTTTTCTCCACCAATAGTAGTCTCACCACACCAGAATATAGTGTGCAACGAAACCACAAGACATGTGGCGTTTGAGAAAGGAACATGACTCTGGCCTTATCTTGAGTGGAAAATCTTTTTCGGCTACTACTCCACTGCTCCTTTTATCGCTCCTTCGAGCCACATGTACGGACTCAAACAAATTCAGACAGACTCTGGACGTTACTGAAAACAAATGTAGAAAATCACTGTTGAGTACATGACAAAGATGGAGGGAAATCAGGCACAAGAAAAAAAGTTAAGTACGGGGCTTTGTGGTAAAATAATTAAAAAATAAACTGATACATAACCCTATACAATGGCAGACCTTTTCTTAGAATGACCATGGCTGCATAGATAAGCTTCAGAGTTAGTCCCCACTTACTCTCTTCATTACACACAGTATATAACTTTGAATCTAGTTCACTTCCACCACCTCCACAAGTAAAGGGTAAGAGCAATATTCAGAGCCAGAGTGCACCTGTCATAACTACAGAATGAATCTCTCTAAAAGCCCCGTTTTCTTCACTATTGTAAACAGAGCATTTGGAAAGGTTAACGAGAGAAAAACAGTGGTGGCCTCATCTGTTCACTTGACACACACACACACACACACACACACATGCACTCACAGGCAGCCTCGAAGATTACCTCAGGCCAGTCAATTCCGTAATGTCCTCCTTGGGAAGCCACTTGAGACCTCATTTGCATCTAATTTGAGTGGAGGGTTTTGGGGAGGGGGGCTTAACAGGCTTAACGATGCCGGACAAAATGAATTGGAAAACAGGGACAGCTTTTCTCTCCCGTGTCCAATTCACACCTGCCCTACAGGGATTGCATAGCAACATGCGCACACACACACACGCGCACACACACACACACACACACACACACACCCTGGAGTGTTGATTTTTAGAGCTGCAAATTCCAAACTGTTGCCCCAACTGCTGTGAAATGTGGGGAAATTGAATGCTGTAAACTCTAGAGGGGGCCTTCAATTGATTGAGCTGCAATCAGGAAATTTTTGTGTAAAAGTGTGTGTGGTTGTACATATGTGTGTGATCATACATCTATACTTTTGAGAAGTTTGCCTTTTTAAATGCACTGTGAGTGTAGTATTTATGATCGCACACACACACACACATACTGTATGTCAAACTGTGTGTTTATGTGCAGTTGAATGAGTTCACTGCTAGAAGCGGCACGCTGCCTGAGCCAACTTTACACAAACTAATTCTGATTTTAACTGCTTATTTTTCTGTTCCCTCGCTAACGGCACTTTGAGGACGTTTTTGGCAAGGTTTTTACGAGCAACACCTTCTCTGCTTTCTCTAGCCTCGTCTGGCACTTTCCCTCCGTCTTTTTTTAAATTTCCCTTCCCAACTCTTCATCTTTACCACAACTTTGTTTCTCATTCCTACATCTCTCCCTCTTTTTCCGCATCCCTCTACCTTCCCTTTTTCTCCTTCGTGCTCCTTTCATCTGTTTTGTTTTTCTCACCCTTGCCTCGCTCCACTGTCTTTTCTTCCCCACCCCGCTCTTGCTTGCCTCCTCACCACCTCTCTT